GACTCACAGAAGTAATAGAACGTATTCAGCTTTCGCTGTAGAGTTTGTAGTTGAATAACATGCAGATAGAGATGTTTTACTGATGAAACATGAAAACAATAAACATATGATTGTGACAATATATGTGTCACCGAACAGAAGGAGACCACAAATGGAATAACTGGTAAGTGAAATGGGATTTATTACCAACAGGAATGGGGTGCAGAGGAATGGAGAGTCAGCAGGTGAGTCTCTACTTTACTGGTGCTATCCTCAACTTAGCTTGGTGAGCTAACAGGCTCTTTCTCCTTTTAACAGGTTTCCCAAGACGTGGTTAGCAGAGGATGAAGAAGATCGGGATCGGCAGGTAAAAATCCGATGGTGATAGAGTCAGGTAAGTCTGTGGTAGCTACTTCAAGACCAGACAAAGGATGGTGAGGAGGAGTGAAGGTGACCATACTGGTCTTGATTACGTGGTGACAGGTGCGGGGAATCAGAACTCAGGTGACTGTGATCGTGCAGGATGAGTGCTGGGACCTGACGAGGCTGGTGTTACCCTGACAATATGGTTTATCTGTGTTCTTCAAGCCATCTCGGGTACTTTTATAAGAGTAAAGTATATTTAACCCCTTAACTGTCACCGTCCCACCTGTGGGATGTTTGGCGCTCTTTATTTGTTGTATTTTTTCTCTATCAAATCTTTTAGTAATCATCATAAATCATATATCATTTGAAAGCTTAGAAGCCCAAGATTATTCCTGTGAAAACCATTTCGAAATCAGACATTGCGTTACCATGGAAATGGTACTTTAAAATCTTTTGGCAGTCTCCTCCCCCTTAGTGGGCGGTGTCAAGTGTTATATTACAAAATGAATTACGGTCTTTTAGAATCAAAACTTTTTATAATCTTAACAAAACACATTTCATTGGAAAGGTCTGAGTCTCAGGATTCCATATTTGTTGGTTATTTTAGAAGTAATATTGATAGAGAAATCTAGACATTTGTAACAGAAAAATTCATTAAAAAAATTAAATGGAGTTTGGATGGCACCCGGTGGCTGTTTATGGTATAACGCCCTAAATACAATCTCACAGGAACCTCCATTTTTTTCATATCAACTTCAAATTTGGAACATAACTTTAGACATAAGGCTATAATTTTATACCAGTTTAAGAGTAAACCCTGATATGTAAAATATTTATTATATATAAAATAAAATTAATATAGTGCATTTTCTTTACAGTACATTTAAACTACTATAACTTTTTGATAAGTTTTTGAAAAAATTCCACTTTTGCGATAATTTGCTGATTTTCTTCTTTAAAAAGAGACCAACCTTATGTCTGTATTCCAAAGTGTTCATAAATTACAACAATTTAAGTTTGGATAGTGCACCTGCATGCTTATTTAAAAAATGGGGGGTGACAGTTAAAGGGTTAAAGTGCAATGCTAATCGACATAGCCTTTATCACCGTATAGAATAATATAAAGTGTCAACTTAGCTTGGTGAGCTAACAGTCTCTTTCTCCTTTTAACAGGTTTCCCAAGACGTGGTTAGCAGAGGATGAAGAAGATCGGGATCGGCAGGTAAAAATCCGATGGTGATAGAGTCAGGTAAGTCTGTGGTAGCTACTTCAAGACCAGACAAAGGATGGTGAGGAGGAGTGAAGGTGACCATACTGGTCTTGATTACGTGGTGTTTACAGTACATTTAAACTACTATAACTTTTTGATAAGTTTTTGAAAAAATTCCACTTTTGCGATAATTTGCTGATTTTCTTCTTTAAAAAGAGACCAACCTTATGTCTGTATTCCAAAGTGTTCATAAATTACAACAATTTAAGTTTGGATAGTGCACCTGCATGCTTATTTAAAAAATGGGGGGTGACAGTTAAAGGGTTAAAGTGCAATGCTAATCGACATAGCCTTTATCACCGTATAGAATAATATAAAGTAGCATGATTTCTGCCTCATTTTGAGATATGAAATCATGTCAGATCACAAAAAGAAGTTATTTCAAACGTTCGATTGATGCTATGAAGTGAATTTGGAGTAAAAACATGTCATTATATGTACTCTTTGTTGGACAACAGGTTTGTAATCTTTCCTTGTTTTTTCATGGTAACCAATTAGCAAGATAAACTAACATACAAAACCAGTTAGGCCTACTTGACAATCAGTTTCATTCAATATATTAATGTATTGTATTACCATGTGAACTCTGATGAAGGTTGAGAGGTACTCATGTTTATGCAATGATCTGTTTGAATGAAGATATCTCCTGAGTCCTGATACATTCTCATTAACTCTTTATTTGGTTAAGGAAATCTCTGATTAGTAATTATTCCAATAGTGGCTAGTATCTTTTTAAATATTACTAGTAAGCATTAGTTAGATACTAGTACTTATATTAGATACTAGATATTAGATCTCCATAGAAGTCAATGTCAAAAAAAAAAATTGGTACTAGTTACAATTGAATAATTACTAGTCCCTATTGAAATAAGTACTATCATAATAAATAAGTATCTTGTATCTAACAAATACGATCTAGTATCTAATCAATAAGTAGTATAATGATAAGGACTAGCATCTAATGAATAAGTACTAGTGTCTATTTAATAGTTACTAGTCTCTAATAATTGAGTACTACACAGCAGTACTACAGCAGGCAATTTCACTGTGCAATTTAAAAAAAGGAATTAATGAACAGTGCACAATTTAATACAGAGTCTCAGTACACAATAACACATCATGGGCCACTGATACGCAGTACATAATATGAGCAGTGCAGTCAAAATGTTTTGAAGTATTTGATTATGTATTTATTTATTTATTGCTTTGATTGCAAGGAGAAAAGCAAAGAAGTATAGACTGAGGGGTGTTAGGTGGTCTTATGAGATTATGCAACACTTTTGAGACCTGAGAAGAGTATCTAGAGGATAGCCAGAAATGTTTGGATATGTCTTTAATGTCACTTTGTCTAGGGTCACAAATGTACTTTATATGAACATAATGCAAATTCTAGAACTTTAACCACACATTGAAATACAGCTACTTTAGCTGCTTACTTGTTTCGTTTGGTGCCCGGCAATCCAAACAACATTTAAAATCACGTTCATTGCAGACTAACAGGCTGACACATTCTAAAGTGGTGGAAATGAATCCATCATTGAAATGCAGAAATCCCTGATGGAAAGGAATAAACTTAGGGTAAACGTAAGAGTTAAGCTCATGTTACATCTGTAACTCAGATTAGCAATTAGCATGAGGGTAGGAAACTCAATAGCATTAAAACTTCCTGTTTGCTGCTCACTGAAATGAATTCCACCTTTATCACAGAGAAAACACAGACGACGTTCTCTGCCACCATGAATGCTATGAATGCTTTTCTCATGCTTTCCTTTTTCCTGTTTATTCAGTTCATATGCAAAGGTGAGTATTTTATCGTGTGACCTTATAACTATAACTGTATTATAAAACTATTATTTTAAATAACAGAATCAATTACCATTATTATGCATCTAACCTAATAGTCTATAGTCTCTATGAAAAGGAGATTTGATTTGTGAGTTGTTGTTTTTTGCAGTGGATGGAGCCGTGGCGCTGCAACAGAAAATCTCACTGACCAAAGCAGAGGAAAAGTTAGCCATTATAGACTGTCATTTACACATAAGCTGCTGGGACTACATCCACTGGTATCAGCAAAAAGATCGAGAAACCTTAAAGAGAATTCTGTATGCTGACATTAATGATGGATCCGCCAAAAATGATGTTGGTTTTGAATCCATAAAATCAGAAAAGAAAGCATCAAATCATTTTGTTTTGAAAATCACCAAGCTAAAAAAAGAGCATTCAGCAATGTATTACTGTGCTTGTTGGGTCTCAGGCAGCACAGTGAGCCAAAAAAACTGAAGCCCCGCACAAAAAAACCCCCACTACTCTTCCTCCATAGATAAAAACTTATGACAAAAAACATAAGGGTTATCATAACTGGAGTTATGATAGTGTACACATTACAAAAAGTATATTTTTTCAAGTTAAAAATATCATAATTTTAAAAATCTAAATATAATGATGAATTATACGTTTTTTATTCTTGCTCCATTTGAGCTGAACTAACTATGCCTTTTTCATATGTCAAAAATGTAATATTAAAAAAGAAAAGAAAAAACTTACTGACCTTACCAAAGAGATACCCAAACATAATGTGAACCTGTATCAAATTTCATACATCATAAACCTCAATGTCAAATTCAGATTAGGACAGGAAACTTCCTGTTTGTTGCTCATAGAAATTAATTCCACCTTCATCCACAATAAAAGACAGAAGCTCACTAGTCTTGTATCTGCCATGATGAGTCCTCAGATACAATGATCCTTTTTGCTCTTTATTCTCCTTATATGGAAAGGTGAGCATTTCAATGTGTGACCATTTTACCTTCATAATAATCATCATTATCATAAATGTTTTTTTTTTACAGAAAATCTTAGCAAAGCCATTGTTAATGTTTTATCATTATATATGTAAATATATATATATGTATGTATGTATGTTTTTTTTTTTTGCAGTGGATGGAGCTGTGGTGCTGCAACAGAAAATCTCACTGACCAAAGCAGAGGAAAAGTTAGCCATTATAGACTGTCACTTCTCTTCAGACTGCAGATTTTACATCCACTGGTATCAACAAAAGGATCGAGAAACACTCAAGAGAATTCTGTATGCTGACATTGATGATGGGTCCACAAAAGTGAATGATGCTGGTGATGAGTCCATCAAATCAGAAAAGAAAGAATTAAATCATTTTGTTTTGAAAATCACCAAGCTCTGCTCAATGCAGAAGTAATTTTAAAGTGTTTTAGCGCCTCAGTGACCAAAATCAAGATTAATATTCATTTTTTCTTTCTTAGCCAATATTAAAAATTCTACAGGGATTTTCTACAACATGAAGCAACAGCAGATGCTCTTTTGCACAAGATGAACCTTTTTGTTCAAGAACAAATGACTGTGGGTTACAAGAAAGTCTTTGGTTCGGGTACAAGACTTTATGTGACAGGTAAGAAAAAATTCATATAATTAAGGTCTTCTAGGCAGATTTGAAGCATTGTAAACTTAATTTCACACCAATTATACTTGTGCAATTCAGCTGGAGACTCAATAGCTAGAATAGCAATTCCACACTGCTTAACTAGTGTGCTTGTTTGCGTAAAAAAGGAGAAAATATGTTAAAGTCATAGTTCACTCAAAATGAAAAGTCTGTCATCATTTACTCACCTTCAGATCATTCTAAACATGTATGACTTTCTTCTGTGGAACACAAATTAAGATATTTTGAAAAATGTTGTTTTGCCCATACAGTGAAATTAAAAAGGGGTTCAGTGTTGTGGAGCCCACTGACTTTCATTGTACAAACAAAAACAGTAGAAACATTTTTCAAAATATCTTTTGCATTATATAAAAGAATAAAGTCATATGGATGTTGAACGGCATGAAGATGAAGGTGACATTATTTTAATTTTTGTGTGAACTATACCTTTAAAATAGTGTAGACCATCAGTAACAGTGGTCTAAATCAATTATATACCAGGTTAGAAGGTTTTGGATTGTTCAGAAGTATTTGTAATAGACTTAATCTGAGTGGGCAACACTATCAAAAGATTTGGATCTGGAACTCGGCTGATTGTAACCGGTAGGAAACAGTGTCAGAATTTCTTCAAATGCATACAATTATATAATTTTTAAGTAAAAACTTTGCCAGTCATCCTTTTTTGCTCACTGATGACTGAAGCTATGTTCAATGTGTTTCTCTCAAGGTTCACCGGTTAAGTCACCAAAGTTGTATGGATACCTACCGTCAAAAAATGACAAACGTGACAAACAGACAATGTTATGCCAGGCAAGTGGCATGTTTCCTGACTTGGTGAAATTCACATGGAAAAAAAAGAGCGAAACAGGACAGTTGACGGATGTACCAGAGGAAAATGTTGTGGAACAGACTAACAAAAATGCAGTCACTGTGACAAGTATGATGATTATAGATAAAAACACGGCCGAAAACAACGACTACCAATGCACTGTTGTCCATGAGGGAATCACTGATAAACTCCAAACTCTTGAAATGAAGAGAGGTAATTTGAAGAAACTTTGATTTACTACAAATTCCATGGAAATAAAGTTGAATACAACTGATACGGTTTTAGACACAGAGAGCTTGGATTATAAATGATTATTCCTTATTATATATGAAAACCTCATTAAAACCTTAATTAAATCAAAGAATTAATTCGAATTAAAAGTATGTTTTTATTTGAATTAAACATTACAGTGTTATCATATGGATGAAACTGTAAAATTGTATGACATTCAGAAATACATGTGTGTGCGTATTTAATTTTTGTGACTGCATTGTTATATTTTAGAAGACAGTAATCCATCAACGGAATCTAAAGATGGTCAGAACCCACCAACATGTCCACCCAGCTCTGAGGGGACCATAAAAAAGCAAATATCAGGTGAATAAATGAAAAATGAATAGATAAATATATATACATTTGGATAAATATAGATACATTTGGATGGATTTTTTTTTTTAATATATTTTTGTATTTCAAAATCTTATTTCCAAGCCCAAATTTAAACATTTAAATTCTATTTTTGAGAGTGTGATCATTTGTACATTTTATTTTTATGTTTCATAAAGTCATTTAACCGACTGTTATGATTATTATAGAGTCACTGAATTATTCTGATCTAACTGATCCTATTTGTCTTAATACTTTTATTCACACTGTACCTTAATGGACCAAAAAGAAAAGAAAAGAAAAAACTTACATTGTCAAAACATTCCTGCTAAAACACCCATCTGTGGGACGCCTACGTTTACTTCACGAAAAAAGAGCATTCAGCGATGTATTACTGTGCTTGTTGGGTCTGGAGCTCAGTCAGCACAGTAAATATAAAGACTGAAGCTTTGCACAAAAACTGCAGGGTTCCTGTCTTTATCAGAAACCACAAACTTGTCTCTAAACTTTATATAAATATACTACTGTAGCTCAAACAGTAGAGCATGGTGCTAATAACACCAATGAGTTTGAATCAGGGAATACATGAAATGATCAAATGTATGAATGCAATGTAAGCTGTGACTGCCAAATGCATAAATGTAAATGTTTACATTACATGGGAATTTCACTTTGATTTTTTCCAGAAATAAACAATGTAACCAGATTCAGCTTACTGTTCGTGAAAAACGGCTCTGAGCCTGAGCTGCCATCCTTCATGAACCTCAATACAAACTCAGATTAGCATAAGGATGGGAAACACCCTCCCATTTGTTACCCATATGCAGTTGATGTCAAAATATATTATGACAATTTTAAAGTGCTATAAGATGTCAAACTTTATAATTTGCAAGTGCAAAAGGTAATAGACAAAAATCAACTGATACTGAATATGAAAACCTGAAAAGAGAAATTGGGTTCTGATGTCGTTCTGTTCAGAAATAGGGTTCACTGTCCCCATGCCATCTAAGCTGCTCAAAGCTCATTTTCTTTTTTTTTCAGAGAAAGTGCCACATTGTGTACAAGGAAGTCAGATCTATTACCAATCGTTTTGTTTGTAAGTAGCATATTAGGTTTTTGGACAAGACTTTATGTACACTGACATAAATCTAAATTTTTTTATGTTTTTGAAAGAAGTCTCGTATGCTCTCCAAGGCTGCATTTATTTGATCAAAAATAAAGTAAATACAGTATTTCTGTGAAGAAAAATGGTACAAAAGCTGTCAATGGAGTGGTACTTTTTCAAAAGTTACACCTTTGTACCTAAAGGGTCCATATTGGTACACCTGATTAGTCCCTAAAAGGTACTTAGTACCTTTTGAAAGGGTGCTAACACTCCAGTGACAACTTTTGTACCTCTATTTTTGAGAGTGCGATTTAAAATAACTCTTTTCTATATTAATCTGTTTCAAAATGTAATTTGCTGCAACAGAAAATCTCACTGACCAAAGCAGAGGAAAAGTTAGCCATTATAGACTGTCACTTCTCTTCAGACTGCAGATTTTACATCCACTGGTATCAACAAAAGGATCGAGAAACACTCAAGAGAATTCTGTATGCTGACATTGATGATGGGTCCACAAAAGTGAATGATGCTGGTGATGAGTCCATCAAATCAGAAAAGAAAGAATTAAATCATTTTGTTTTGAAAATCACCAAGCTGAAAAAAGAGCATTCAGCGATGTATTACTGTGCTTGTTGGGTCTGGAGCTCAGTCAGCACAGTAAATATAAAGACTGAAGCTTTGCACAAAAACTGCAGGGTTCCTGTCTTTATCAGAAACCACAAACTTGTCTCTAAACTTTATATAAATATACTACTGTAGCTCAAACAGTAGAGCATGGTGCTAATAACACCAATGAGTTTGAATCAGGGAATACATGAAATGATCAAATGTATGAATGCAATGTAAGCTGTGACTGCCAAATGCATAAATGTAAATGTTTACATTACATGGGAATTTCACTTTTATTTTTTCCAGAAATAAACAATGTAACCAGATTCAGCTTACTGTTCGTGAAAAACGGCTCTGAGCCTGAGCTGCCATCCTTCATGAACCTCAATACAAACTCAGATTAGCATAAGGATGGGAAACACCCTCCCATTTGTTACCCATATGCAGTTGATGTCAAAATATATTATGACAATTTTAAAGTGCTATTAGATGTCAAACTTTATAATTTGCAAGTGCAAAAGGTAATAGACAAAAATCAACTGATACTGAATATGAAAACCTGAAAAGAGAAATTGGGTTCTGATGTCGTTCTGTTCAGAAATAGGGTTCACTGTCCCCATGCCATCTAAGCTGCTCAAAGCTCATTTTCTTTTTTTTTCAGAGAAAGTGCCACATTGTGTACAAGGAAGTCAGATCTATTACCAATCGTTTTGTTTGTAAGTAGCATATTAGGTTTTTGGACAAGACTTTATGTACACTGACATAAATCTAAATTTTTTTATGTTTTTGAAAGAAGTCTCGTATGCTCTCCAAGGCTGCATTTATTTGATCAAAAATAAAGTAAATACAGTATTTCTGTGAAGAAAAATGGTACAAAAGCTGTCAATGGAGTGGTACTTTTTCAAAAGTTACACCTTTGTACCTAAAGGGTCCATATTGGTACACCTGATTAGTCCCTAAAAGGTACTTAGTACCTTTTGAAAGGGTGCTAACACTCCAGTGACAACTTTTGTACCTCTATTTTTGAGAGTGCGATTTAAAATAACTCTTTTCTATATTAATCTGTTTCAAAATGTAATTTATTCCTGTTTTGTCAAAGCTGAATTTTCAGCAGTCATTACTGAAGTCTTCGGTGTCACATGATCCTTCAGAAATCATTCTAATATACCAATTTGCTGCACAATAAACATTTCTTATTATTTTCAGTGAAATGTCCATTAGAAACATTTCTGAAGTATCATGTGACACTGCGGTAATGGCTGCTGAAAATTAAGCTTTGCCATCACAGGAAAAAATTAGTTTAAAATAGAAAACAGTTATTTTAAGTTGTTAAAACATTTCAAAATGTTACTAATTTTAATGTATTTTTGATCAGTCAAGTCTTGGTGAGCATAAGAGACTACTTTCAAAAACATTAAAACCACCTATGCTCATTTTATATGTGTGTAATACTAAAGCACAGACTAGATGCTGTAGAATCTGTCACATTTGAATCATGAACCACAAAACAAACTCAGATTAGCATGAAGGCCGGAAACTTAATATCATAAACCTCCCATATGACCTCCCCTCATCCCAGAATGAAGACAGAAGCTCTCCAGACACGCTCTGCCATCATGAGTCTTCAAATGCAGTTATATTTTTTGTTTCTCATTTACCTTTTATGTAAAGGTGAGTCTTCTCATTTTGAAGTTTTCAATATACCATTATTTTCTCTGTTATAATTTTCAAGTTATACACATTAACATGATATTTATATCAGCTATTATATCTTACCTAGGGCAACATACTGTTTTTAAGTCAAGTCTGATTGTTATTTTTTTATTTTTTGCAGTGGATGGAAATGTGAAAATGCAACAGAAAATCTCATTGACCAAATCTGTGGACAAGACAGTTGTTATAGACTGTAATTTTCCATCAGACTGCAGTGGCTACATTCACTGGTATCAACTAAAAGAGGGACAAACCTTAAGAAGAATATTATATTCATCAATTTCAGGTGGAGCCACAAACAATGATGCTGGTTTTGAATCATTTAAAATAGATAGGAAACCGTCAAATTTGGCTCTGAAAATACCTCAACTGAAAAATGAGCATTCAGCGGTGTATTACTGTGCCTGCTGGGTCTCAGGCAGCACAGTAGTAATAAATATTAACACACTGTACAAAAACTCAGCAGGCTGCTTTAATCTGAAACCACAAGCCACAAGTTTTTATGATATAAAAGCCATCTGCTAAACACTGAATCAATGAATTTCATGCACTATAGTGTTTGCTGATCCTGAACACTTGGGAAAAGAAGGACAAGGTTTAAAAGGGCAAGGAATGAAATTTTAAATGATGAAGGACAAATGTGCTGATGAATTATAAGAAACTGTAAGCTGAATCAACAGAATTGAACTAGCTGCTCAGATAAGCAGACAAAAGGCATTCACTTCAAATCATTTTTAAATTAACTGATTAATATACAATTTTTTCTAAAAGTTTAGTGGGTCCCCTTACCGACAGACCACCGTGTTCCCACTGTGGAGTCAAATCTCAGCTTGTTGTCCGGCCATGAGTCTGTTGGAAGACTTGTAAATAAACTATTGCAGTCCCTACTGGTAACAGAGTGATATGGCACAGTTATTGCTGGATCTGCTCAATGCAGAAGTAATTTTAAAGTGTTTTAGCGCCTTCTATATTACAATTAAATCCTAATCTAATCATGACAAACTATATATCGTTGGAATGGTCTAAGACTCCTAAATAGTTATTTTACCAATGTTTTTGTTAAAAATTATGTAGGAAAAGTAATAGATTAATTTTTGACAAGAGTGCATCTCAAAAATCTGCAACATAACAGGAGTTCTGACCCTTGTCAAAAAAAGTCTTCTTTGTTCACCCTTTAGAAATCAT